ACAGGCCTCCAACTAGACTCTGCACCACTGACCACAACCCTCTGAGCTCGGCCATCCAGCCAGTTCTCAAGCCACCTCACCGTCCACTCATCTAGCCCACACTTCCTGAGCTTACCTAGGAGGATGTGATGGGCGACAGCGTCCAAAGCCTTGCTGAAGTCCAGGGAGACAACATCCACTGCTCTGCCCTCATCTACCCAGCCAGTCATTCTGTCATAGAAGGCTATCAGATTGGTCAAGCATGATTTCCCTTTGGTGACTCCATGCTGACTACTCCTGATCACCTTCTTGTCCTCCAGATGCTTAGTGATGACCTTCAGGAGGAGCTGTTCCATCACCTTTCCCGGGATGGAGGTGAGGCTGACAGGCCTGTAGTTTCCTGGCTCCTCCTTCTTGCCCTTTTTGAAGACTGGGGTGACACTGGCTTTCTTCCAGTCCTCAGGCACCTCTCCTGATCTCCAGGACCTTTGAAAGATGATGGAGAGTGGCCTAGCGATAACATCCGCCAGCTCCCTCAGCACTCGTGGGTGCATCCCATGAGGGCCCATGGATTTATGGATGTCAAGTTTGGACAAAAGATCTCTAACCTGATCCTCCTCAACCAAGGGAGAGTCTTCCTTTCTCCAGCCTTCCTCTCTTGTCTCCAAGGTCTGGAATTCCTCAGGACTGGCCTTAGCAGTGAAGACGGAAGCAAAGAAGGCATTCAATAACTCTGCCTTCTCTGTATCCTTCATCACCAGGGCACCCGCCCCATTCAGCAGTGGGCCCACGTTTTCCCAACCCCATGAGAAAAGAAAGGATGATTCACAACCTCAATTTCTCTCTTTATTATCTTAAGTAGCTTCTTTTATATAATACTGCTTTTTCTGGATCTTACTGGTTTACAGCCCCAAAGTCTCCCCACACATTTTTCAGGGAGCCCTAAAAACTTAATTCAGGACTGTGCAGGATGCTTCACAGGGCTTGCAGATGCAGCAATTACAGATAACTCATGTCCTTTTGGAATGGGAGGAGGAGGGCAGGAGAGAGGTATTCTTTCCTGATGCGGTATTTATTTGTTAAAAGATACGATTTCTGAAAACTATGTTAAAAAAAATAAATCACAACCACATATTTATAACTGAGTTAACAAAGCAGAAATGATGAACATTTCTGTCCTCCATATCATAGGAATTATTCTCTCTAACATAATTTAGAGGTTAATGTTCCCAATGGTCATGGCCAAAATCTACTACCAATCACCAATGACAATTACAGAGCTCTGCTGGCCATTACATCGGCATTGTTTCTAACGGAGGGACAGCCTGTTAATCTATTAATTTGGCAAAACCTGAAATCACTGAAGACACTTCCCTTTAGTGCAGAAATGGGCAGTTAGTACATTATTTTATTTTGGCTAGGCAGTTACTTTTTCAGTTCTGGCAACGATCTTTGTAGTAGCTCCATCTGCGAGCACAGATGTGAGAAACTGACATGAATTTTTCCTACAGCAGATTATTTTGTACGGCGATAAGCTAAAAAAGACCAGGGGGAGATCTAAGATTAGCTACAAAATATATTATAAATAGACTATTTGAAGTTTCAGCTAACTTTAAAGAATGATTAGAACTGAGGAAGAAAAAACAAAACTATTTTTATTCTTATACGATCTTTGTGCTTGTGATCCTAACTTCTCAAGGATGAGAAATATGTTGCTACTTTGCACCACTGTGTTGATAAAAGAGCTGATAAACTCTTACCAAATATGAGACAAAGTTTTGGGGAAAAAAAATTAAATGTAACTTGTAAAATTATAGTCTTTAGAATTCTTTGCTTTTACTGTCACAGTATTTAAAAATCATTCAGCAAACCCAATGAACATTTGGGATTGCATTGATTTTCAAGTTTTTATATTGCAACAAGATGACAAATAGAAAAAAGGTGCAATTTGTGTACCCATCTATGGATGTCCTATACCACCTGAGATTCCTAATGTGGTTTGAAACCTGTTCAGAAGTCTTGCAGACACAGAAGTTGCAGAAATCTTGTGTCCTTCTGGAACAGGAGACAGAGGTCAGCTATCTCCATAAATATATATAACATGGCATTAGAACACTATATTTGAACAACTAAATTAACCGCAGATTGTTTGCTTTTATTAAAAAAGAAGAAGAAAAAAGGTATCAGGTTTCATTATAGTTCTTATTAATTAATCAGTGTCTGACAACACCGGGAAATCTTAAAGTTCTGACATCTGGTATTCTTCTTGTTGAAGGAATGAATGAATGGCAGATGAGACTGTCACTTGCCTTCTTCCATCGCTATGGTAGAGGTGATGAGGGGAGGTGAGAGAGTGCAGGGAATGCAGGGGTCTTCATAGCAATATTGTTTTTTAAGAATAGTAACCTCAGCTTGAATATGGAATGCATGCATATATTCCGAAGTGGGATAGTTGCATACCAGAGAAACCTTGTTCCTAAAGAATACATACAATGTTTCATCATCAGTTCCTTGTGCTATTTGATATACCTGCAAGTATTTTGAGTTGTGTGTGTAGGACTGCCAGAAAAGATTCAGGGTCAGGGGAGACACATGCTTTCCTGGACTACTAACTGAAGGTGAGGTGGAATCCTTGAATACATTCTGAAAAGTACTTGACTTGTGTTTATTGACTTCTGTCAAATCTGCAGCCAGTGGAACTCTGAGAGCTGTATCACCTAACCAGCCACTAGGTATCTAATTTGGGCTGAGCTGAACATGAGGAATTAAAAAAAAGGTCTATGGAAAAAATAATTCTTCAACAGTTATTTAGATTCCTTCTGTCTTAGATCAAAGTACCAATAATACTTACAGAAAGCAAAAATTAATCTGGTTACTTAATATTTAACATATGATTTTTTCTGTAATTGTTCTTGTTTAGTTATGGTATGGTTGTCTTTTGAGACTATAATTAAAGTTTCTTGGCTTTTACATCTGTTAAGAAAACCATCTAAAGTGCAATGACTACAGTAATTTTTCTCTCTCTAGGTTAACTGGGAGCTTTGTACCAGATTTAATTGTGAGCATGAGCAATCAGATGTGGTTGCATCTTCAAACAGATGAAAGCGTGGGTTCAATTGGTTTCAAGGTTAACTACAAAGGTAACAATATGCTATTGGAAGCAAATTGAACAGTGCACTAACATAAGGCCAATATTATGAAATGTTCTTCTTTTGTACTAGAAGATGCATTCTTTTCCCAGTTCTGTTGGTTTTAAAAACAAGAGAATGCAAATTCTTTGAGTAGGAAATAATACTCAAAATAAATTTGTTATCTTTAAAGGTCTTATGTCCCATGAAATTGCATGATTTTTATTTAGTGTCCTTAGAGCAATCGAATTCTTGACATGAAGTTTTACATTCATTTTCTGTTGTTTTATGTTGAAAATATTAAAAAGAAGATTTAAAGCTAAATGCGTAAAGAAAGCACATATTTCTTACATTCTTAAAAAATCACATTCTTACAAAATCACAGAAGCGTAGGGTTGGAATTACCTAGGAATTTGGGGCCAAGGAAAAGAAATATTTAAGTAAAACTGTTGTTCCTTACTGTCTTAAAATGTCAGAGTTCTACAGCATAAAACAGCTATTGCTATTTGATGCTTCTAGAGGGACATCCAAGTTTTATATAGCATGAACATCAGCATGAAGCAGAAACTTAAGAATAAAAAAATATATATTCTTTTGTAGTATTACAGAAGTAGCTGTATTTATTAGATTTATATTAGATTTAGCACTTTAGTTGCATGTGCTTCTTAGAACAGTTTTTAAAATGACATGGTCCCTGCCTGCCACTGAAAACAGACAGTAGACTATATGACAATTATTCACCAAAAGGGGAGAAAGAAAAGGCAAAAGTCAAACTAATTTCTGTGTCCATTAGAAATGGAGTGGATTTTGTTTTTTCACACTGGCTGATGTTTTTCCATAAAAATTTGCAGAGGGAGAGGGAATAGCTTAGTTAGTACAAGGGAGTGCTCTGGATAGCCAAGTGAAAATAAATGAGATTTAATGAGTAGTTTGGAGAAGATGAAGAATGACTGAGGTACATCATCCCTGATACTTGTGAAAGGAATGGAGCAATGACAAGCAAATAGGGAAAGGCATGTAGTGTAGGTAGTAGAGCAAAAGAACGAGAAGAACCGCAAAACAAATAGAGGAGTGACAGATGGAAAGGCTTATTGGGAGTAAAGCTGCACAATATGAATCGCTATTTCTTTCTATCCTTATGTTCCTTTTGGCTCTTTGGGTAAACTAAGCTCTGTAATGACATGATACAAGTGCAAGCATACCTTTGCATTTTTGTTATTCAGATGTAATAGACTAAGAATGAAACAGTTTATTACTTCTTAGTATGACAGTAATACTTAGTACTTCTTAGTATGACTGCCACATTCTAGAGTACTCCTAGCAGTTGATGAAAGGGGCAAGAGAATTAGTTAGTAGAAATGAATTTAAAAAAATAGAGGTAGGACATGTAAGTTGTGAATATAGCAAACCTGGAACCATGGCCGAGTGGGAAAGAGAGTTCGTTTAGATCTGAATTAGAAATAATTTGCACAGCTCAAGTAGTTGATTCCTTTATTTACGTGATTCTTTTCTAGTAAAATTAATTTTACTCACAACAATTTTAATTTGCAGAGGGCAGAGGATTATTGGCTAGTATCTTACTATGCATTGCTATGTGTTGTTTTATTCATGAGTTACATTTATTCTTAGAAACAATGGTTCTGCAAGAATAAAATTAATGGAATTTGAAAAGGTAGAAGGGGTCAAAAAGGGTGAATGCTCACACAGTCTCATCTCCATATAATCAACTAGCTGTATGATTGCATATCTATCTAAATACTGAGGCTGTATTTATCTCTCTCCCTACACTGATACTTTACACGAGCTCACCAAATAGCATTTCAATGAATCAAGCTTTCAATAGATAGGCACTGTTCTTTTTTGGTTTTGTTTTGTTTTGTTTTGTTTTAATAAGCTGGCATATGGGATTATATTTTTATCAATTGCCTTTGTTTTGATCACTGAGAGGGCTTATTTATTCATTACAGATGCCAGCAACGGGCCAATAATCCCTTAAATAAAATGCTTTTATTTGATATCCTTTCTGGTAACTATGGTAGGCTCCAGAAAGTCCTTGCAATTTTTTGAACTTAGTAAAGAAGTCAAAGATATGCCATGGTCTTGAATGTAATTGGTCTTCTAATGTAATTGTATGTTTTTTCCCCTCTATGCAGCTGCATAAATAAAACTTCCACTCTTTCTGCTGTTCAGACAGAAAGAAAAATCCAATTAGTATAAGCTAGTTCCAAAACTTCAGTAAGAATAATCTTTACATTGTAAACCAGCTTCTTATACAAATTACTATCCATTTAGACATCTGTGTTCAGAGTCTACCAATATGTTGAGAATTTCTTAAAAGAAGTTTGATTTCTAGGAGTCTTGGTCAAAGAACAGTTTAAATGACTAGATAAATTACTAAACAGTGCATGCCCAACCTGCTTGTATTTCTTTTTAATAGATGAGGTGAAATTCTATTCCTAGAGCTTGGCTCTTTCCATCTCACAATTCACACTATCCATTCCAAGACTCAGAAAACTAACTACAGCTTCTCATACTGTATCTATTTTTATATGTTATATATTTAGATCTTGAAAGTTTCTGCTTACATAAAAGGTACATCTGCATTAGCATTTTAGATTAGATCCAGCAGTGTGCTTTCAGAGTGAAGCTTCTGATCATCCCAACTCCCCTTGCTTTGGTTTTCATCATGGAGCAATCTTGAAATGCACCAAATAGATTGCTCAGAGGTAATTCAGAGGATGTACTTAAATAGCATTCCCGATGCACTACAGCTGGTAATGGGCATTCAGTCCACAAGATCAGACTAAAACTTGTCCAAAATAAAACACTAAAACACATTGAAACTCTTATAGATAGTATGGATGCTGTATCTTCTACTATTTCACTCTAAAAATTATCATATGTTGGAGAAAATTACTTATTAATGTACTTGATACAGTACTTGCTAATAGCCAGAATGCTTGTCCATTAAAATGTTTTGATGCCTCAATATCTGCAACTGTGCAACCCGAGTCTCAACTAACTACAGAGGTAGCAAAGTCATGCCTGTCTAATCCCATGAAGATTTATAAAGGATTTGTAAAAATTTGTAAAAGTTGAAGAATACTTCAATGTAGCTGACATTTAGATCTGAGTCTGGTAAACATTTTCGATATAGATTGTTCTGAGTTCTACATGATACATGTGAGGAGGAACAGAAGGCGGTGGGATATCGTTACCCTGTGCCCTTTTACCTATTGTTCTCCAAAACAGTATGCTTGCCCAAGGTGTGAGATAGAAGGTCAGATCCTATCTCACTGGAATAAATTTGAATGCACCATATCATTTGTCATGAATGTGTGACCCACTAAGTATTATTCCTGTTTACTTTCTCCCTTTCAAATATACTTCATGTTAGGTAAGTGGAAAGATGCAGAAATAGCAGCTGAAAGTGAATTCTTGAATACTTCTGCATTCTCTAATTTAGAAAGTTTTCAGTTGAAAAATTATTTCAAGTCTATATTATTACAGGAACTGACTTTTCTGTATCTGCCATGTGAGAGAACCTAGGAAGTATTTGTGAAATAATGAAAATCTTTGGCCTCTTCTAGACTTAACAATGTTGCATATGGAGTCATTTTATGATTTTAATCTGTAGATCTTGTTACTGTTGTTTAAATGTAAAATTATGATTCAAACATTTAAGAGAATTTTTTTAAAATACATATACAGACATATATATATATATATATATAAATTCTTGTAGCAAGATCCCTAATTAAAAACCTTCTTTAAAAAGTAGAATGATAAATATCAGGAACGGACAGGAGAGAAGTGCAAGCCCTGGTTCAGTAAAGGCATAAATATTTTTACTGGTTCCCTCACTGTTGTGTAAAATATTTTCATATTTTAAATGTATGTGTATAGATTCTATATTTATTGTATATTTTGGTGGAATACATAGAATACTTAACATTCTGAAATCTGAAGTGTATTGTTTCCACATCATAATTTTGATCATTTGACAACCTAGTCTTTCCTTTGGATATGGGATCAGTGCTGTGAAAGGAAACCCTACAATGGAATAGTTACTACTGGTAATAAGATAAAGTAATACTTTGTGTCATTCAGTATTTCAGAAAGTTATGCCATGTTGGCACACTGGTGCTTTTATTCCTAAAGCTATGATGAAGAAGAAGGAAGTTTCCATCTAAAAGGTAGTGAAGAAACTGCCAATCCTCAACATATATAAACACTGGAACTGAGTTTTGTTCATCTCTAATTGAGGGGAAGAAGCCAACTATGCAAAACAGAAAACATGCTGTTAGAAGTATGGCATAGCTTTAAAAAAGCAAATAGTCTTAAAAGACTAGAAATAGTTCCATTTTTGTTAAAAACATAAAGTTTTGAAGAATTATGCGTTGGTTAATTTTATTTCATTTCTCAAAACTTATTTGAGAATATAATTAGTAGTGGAGTATTATAGTACTTGGAAAATTATATATGAAAGCTCTTTAACTGTAATCATGTTCATATGTATGTTCCTTGTATAACTTTGGACATATGTGAAAGGATAAACATTTCCAAAGGGTTATCACAGAATTTGTGGGGCTGTAGAATAAAAATACATAATCACAGTTTTAGTTCGTAGGAAAAAAAGAAAGAAATCCAATTCGTGTAAATGTACAGTACAAATAGATCCTATATTAGCTGAGGATGGACAAGCTGAGCTTCTTGCTTCTGAATACATATTTAAGCTTTAGAGTAGTCTGTTTCTGTGAGGTCTTCATATAATATTCTCAGTTTCTGAGAAGTGGCCAGAGCTGACAGTTGTGTGCTTCCCCCCGATGACCAGTAACTAACTGCACCCTAATAAAAACCTTTAAATCTTTCATGTAGGGTCCTCTGATAGTTCTGCCTCTTAGCAGGACAAATTCTATGAACTGTTTTAATTATTGTTTTACCCACAGTTAATTTTAATTGCATGAGACAATCATTTTGAGGAAGGTTACTTAGAGTAGGATGGTAAGTTT